CAAGTTTTCAAGACTCAGCTCTGTAAACTTGTCAAAAAGGCTCTTGAACTCTGACTTCAGATCCAAGTCATTCTTGTTGTCATCATTGTCTGAATCTGAATCTGAGCTTGAGGATATATCTTGAGTGTCGTCTTGTTCCACGCGAGCAACAAAGTTAAGCATCAGTTCTTCATCATCACTCTCGCTTTCTGATTCGGTATCACTGAAGGACATGAGAGCTTTATCTTTCTTTAGATTGTTAGGACACTCACTCCTTGTATGTCCAAAACCCTTACACTCAATGCACTTAAGCTCTTTTCTTTTAGCTAAAGGACACTCGCTCCAAAAGTGACCTAAACCTTCACATTCATGACATTTTAAGTCTTTCTTGCGGTTTCCTCGTCCAGATTCACTTCTGTTCTGCTGTCCAGAGGGACGATCCCCTTCTCTTCCTTGAAACCGGTTGCTATTGCGATAGTTCCCCTTTTCAATTCTTTTGATCATCTTGTTGAAATTCTTAGCCATTAGACTCATGTTCTCTTCAATGCGCTTGACTTTATCTTCTTTTTTTTTGTTTTCTGCTGTGAAGGCAATTCCTTTCTATCCCTTAGTCGTCTCTTCACTTCTTTCCAAATCGTGCACCTTCAGAATTCCAGCCAACTGATCAAACTTCATTTCGTCAGTATTCACAGCAATATTAAGAACCGCCTTGTATGCTTCAAATCTAGGAGGGAGACATCGCAATACTTTCTTCACAAGTTTCTTCTCATTATACTTCTTACCCAAGACAGAAGCTTCATTGGCTATAGAGCTTATTTTAGAGATGAAACTTCCTATTGATTCATCATCCTCCATTCTCAGATTCTCAAACCTTGAGGCGAGATGATCAATTCTGGTCCTTCTCACACTTGTGTTTCCCTCAAAGTGATTGATAAGAGTATCCCATGCTTCTTTAAAATGATCAAGATCAACAGCAGAGAAGATTGTAGTCAGAGCCTTTGAGTTGAATTTGGACGCAGCTTTATCAGAGTCAGTCCATCTCTCCTTTGGCATAGGTGCTACAGACTTGTCTTCCATTACCATAGTAGGTGCAGTACATCCTTATTCCACAGCAGTCCAAGCATCCTCGTCAATAGCCCGTATGATGTGCCGCATCCTTGCCTTCCAGTGTCCAAAGTTCCCTTCGTCGAGCATGATTGGTTTTTGCAAAGCCACCACTTCTTTCATGGTCTCATTGACTGTTGCAGGATCTCAACCTGTAAGTAGACAAACACGTCCACAGAGGTGGCCTGCTCTGATACCAAATGAAATTTCGTATGGATACCACAATATAACAACTTGAGCAAATCCAAGAAAACTAACTTGCTTTATTAAGAATCACTTAAACAATCTCACAAGATCTGTTTAATCCGATTGATTCAACGTCACAACTTGACTTGAGACGGACCAATTCTTAAACTAGCCAATGCACAATGGTCGAGACAGATCTCACCACTTGCTTACACAGAATCGCAGCTTTGAACACTGAAGCTCGATAATACCAAAAATCCCCAAAAGCCGTAACCTAGCTAATGAAACCTATCACCAATATATACTCACGTATCCTATTGTGATAAGCAAAGATTCTCCCAATATCTTTTTGTTTGTTGCCTAATAAACATCCTAAAATCTTGGGCCATTATCTTCCGAACGGCTCCTTGTATTTCGCTCCTGGTGTAACACCCGCTCCACGTTGTGTGACACCTCAGCCTTTTCGCTCAAACACACTTGAGCTCACTTGCGTGTAACACAGTCTCCTGTCCGTGTAACACGCCAATCGTCATGCTCAGAAACCTGAGCTTACATATGTTTCTGACTAAAATGTCAATGGGTTCTTTTTATCTGTTGTTACTCTGCTTTTCTCTTTAGTTGTTAGTGACGACTACATATATTTTTCTTTTTTTTTTTTTTAATTTGTGAAAGTGACAACATCCATTGAATGTGTTAGTCCAGAAACGAATTGTTTATTATAGTTGGTGGCGCAACTGTAATCGCATTTGCAAAGAGACGTACAACTCTTGAACACACTTAACTAAACTACAAGACTCGTCTAGTGTTATTAGCACTTTGTCAGAGAGAAAATGGAGGAGCAAATTATGAAGATTAAGTCTTTGTTCATTTATCCAATCAAATCTTGTCGTGGAATCTCTGTCCCTCAGGCAACTGTAACTCAAACTGGTAAGTTGTGAACATATGAATCTTTCTTCTTGTTTGTAACATTCACCGTTTCTTTTTTATTCTTTAAATATGTAGGATTTCAATGGGACCGATACTGGCTGGAAGTGAACTACAAAGGAAGAACTTACACTCAAAAATTTGAGCCTAAGCTTGCTCTTGTTGAATCTGAGCTTCCTAAGGAGTCTTTCTTGGAAGACTGGGAGCCAACAGAGAATTCGTTTTTGGGTAAATTTCTTTGAAAATACACAAAGTTTTGTATGAATCGATACTCGAATTCAGCTTCCTGATTATTCATTTTGCAGTGGTAAGAGCTCCTGGCATGAGTCCTTTAAAGATACCATTGACTAAACCAAGCTCGGTCGCACAAGGTGTGTCCATGTGGGAATGGTCTGGCTCTGCGTTTGATGAAGGAGAAGAGGCTGCTAAATGGTTTTCAGATTATCTTGAAAAACAAAGCCGTTTGGTTCGGTTTAATAAAGGTTTTCATTCTAAATGTGATATTTTCATTAGCAAAGTCTTTGATGCATAGAGTTTGATAAACTTTAAAAAAAAAATTGATACAGAAACAAAATCTAGACCTTCACTTCCCGAGTATGCAGCTGGCTACACTACCACATTTGCTAATACATTTCCATTTATGGTTTCCTCACAGGTGAGCCAATATTGATAGTTGCAATATTAGTAATCTATAATATGTGTTTGATCTTCCTCTTCTGTTATTTTTTCTTAGGCTTCTCTGGACATGCTGAATACAATTCTTACAGAACCAGTGCGTATTAACCATTTTAGACCCAAGTAAAAGATAGTATTCATCCTGAGTTTTTAATATTTTCAGTGATGGTTGTTTTCTTCATGATCATGATTTTCCTCGGTTCTCTTGTAGCATTCTTGTGAAGAATTGTGTTCCTTTTGGTGAAGATCATTGGTATGAGATCAAGATAAATGATTTAGTCTTCCAAGGAGTTAGGCTATGCAGCCGCTGCAAGGTGAATATGACGTGGGAAATACTCGGATTTGTTGTGAATAAAAGTTGTAACTTGTGTGTTATTATTATACATATCGAGGTCTGTATATATAGAAGTATGTAAACCGTCATAACAAAGAGATAATCCTAATCCTAATAGGATAAGGATAACTACAGCAACAAGGATAAGGACCAAGAAGAGGATAAGGATAAGATGTGCTCCTGGTGTAGGATAAGGATAAAGTGTGCTATAAACCGCCAAAGACATAATTTGGATAGACCTGATCTGATCCAGTAGAACCCGGATGGGCTTCTGGTCCTACGGACGAGCCTGGCCCAGTTTATTCTGGTCCGGATATAGCCTAACCACCAAATGTTTTTTAACACTCCNACCAAGAAGAGGATAAGGATAAGATGTGCTCCTGGTGTAGGATAAGGATAAAGTGTGCTATAAACCGCCAAAGACATAATTTGGATAGACCTGATCTGATCCAGTAGAACCCGGATGGGCTTCTGGTCCTACGGACGAGCCTGGCCCAGTTTATTCTGGTCCGGATATAGCCTAACCACCAAATGTTTTTTAACACTCCCCCTTGGTCGATATATCCGGTCAGGGTTTGTTACATGCTTTTGATGTTGCCTCATTAAATCGTCTACTGGAAAACCCAAAACCCAGTAAGATAAAAAGGAAAACCAAGGACATGACAAAAGAGTACAACACATGAACTCCCCCTGATGAATGCATCACTGATGTATGAACTTCTTGAACCTTCCTGTCCAATCCGTGGGTGAAGAGAACTCGGGTAAGATGCACTTCTGTCGACCACTTCATATTCTGGTCGAACACGTTGAGTCTTGACCAAATCATACTTGTTGACACAATGATCGGATGGACTCGACCTCATGCGCCTACGGCTTGCTCCATGATAATTGATCTTCCTTTATCATCGGCCAAAGCACATTCTGATTGACCCATGATGAACCATGGACCTCTAAACCTGCGGCCAAACTCCACTCACGGATCTTCTCATGTGTTAGGTCAAACCATGATGCTGCTGCTGTAAGGTATTGCAGTTCCATTGTAAAATAACTTGTATCACCAAAATCAAATAACCTTTCTTTTTGGGTTGGTTAGTTATAAAATAAACACAAAAGGTTTCAAATTTCTTTTATAAGGATACATGGACTGATATGAGTTGTTCTTATAGAACTCTTTTACTAAGTATCTATCATACTATATGCAGCTGCTTTGTTTCAGTAAATAAACAGCTTAGGAGCAATGTTGTTCTTGAGAACTTCTTTTCTCATATTTCTGGTACCTTATTATCTTTATCCAGTGATTCATATACTTCTTACTACATCATTATATGTCATCTTAATTTCTCTCTTATGACCAAACCTTTATCAATTTCGAATTTTTGTAGTAGCATCCACCACATAGGAGTTTATCTCCTTATAATCTGTTCCATGGTCTCTGTGAGTATCCTTGTGTAACAAACCGTGCTTGAATGCGGTAAGTAGGAACATGAACACCTTAGTCCTCGTGATCATGTACTATATCTCACATCTCACTGTTTCTTTTCCCTCACAAGATCCATTTGTCCACTGGTTTATATCATTAGATGGCGCTTCAATATATATATGACCAATACGCCCATCTCTTCTATATACACATTTAAACCCCACGTTTTCCATTGGTCCAATCTGACCCACGAGTCTACACTCTTATATTGACGTGGGTTCATGATCCTCGCTTATTTTCAAAAGTTCAAGTGCTACTTTTGTGCGCTTCCTTATATCATATTATGTGTCTACACTTTTATGTAGTTCCATTGTGTTCCAGACATGATCTGATCTATTTTGAGATTTCATTCTTACCAAGGACCTTCACTACCTTGCAACTTGGCGTCCCAAGCTACATGGTTTGGTACCTTAGATGTTTAGCTGCACAACCTTATCTCAATGCCTAGTTTGGTTTCCCTTATAACCTCGGATCTGTCCTTCTATGCACCTTTCTCTTTTCTTTCTGAGGTTCCTTATCTTATGAAACATATTGGTCTATCTTTAATAGACTCTGTAGCAACTTGATTATGTCTCTCTTGGACATCAAACTCGAGGTGCTAAGCTGGTATGACATAGTCATTCTTTTTTCTTTTCTTTTCGGGTCAATGTGTATGGCATCTAGTTCTGCTAGCTTTTTATTATCTCTATAATATCATATGGACGTCTTAAATCATATTCTCTAGTCCGAGGATATTTCCAAGACAATGATGGTTAATACCATTCTCTTTTATCATTATTTACCAGCTTATTACTTTCTCCTTTTAATGTTGGATAGTCAGATTCATTGACTCATNACGTCTTAAATCATATTCTCTAGTCCGAGGATATTTCCAAGACAATGATGGTTAATACCATTCTCTTTTATCATTATTTACCAGCTTATTACTTTCTCCTTTTAATGTTGGATAGTCAGATTCATTGACTCATGCAATCCGTGTACTTGGCCACGATCAGATCACCCATATTTGGCTCAAGGTCTCTAAAAACTCGTGGTCGAGCTTCTTTGCGCGGGTACGAGCTTGCTTGGTTCGCAAACTGATTTGTTGATCTTGCTGAGTTTCTGTTCGATGGTTATGATCAGATTGTGTCACAGGTTTGCAGCTTCAAGTTGAGGTTGAAGTTCAATAATCTTGACTTAATTATCACGCCAAAGTAGAAGAGAAAAACGTGGCTAGGGTTTGTGATATGGGAGTCTGATTTTTCTAACTTAGTGTATGGACGATCGTGATGATAACGTGTTGTGAATAAAGGTTGTAACTTGTGTGTTATTATTATTCATATCGAGGTCTGTATATATAAAAGTATGTAAAACGTCATAACAAAGATATAATCCTGATCCTAGTAGGATAAGGATAACTACAACAACAAAGATAAGAACCAAGAGGAGGATAAGGATAAGATGTGCTCCTGTTGTAGGATAAGGATAAGGTGTGCTATAAACCGCCAAAGACATAGTTAGGATAAACCTGATCTGATCCAGTAGAACCCGGATGGGCTTCTGGTCCTGCGGACGAGCCCGGCCCGGTCTAGTCCAGTCCAGATATAGCCCAACCACCAAATGGTTCTTAACATGATTCTTTAACTTAAAGAACTTTGACTGCTTTCATCTTTCAGTTACCAACTGTGAATCAAGAAACCAGAGTTCCCGATGCAACTGAACCAATTGAAACTCTGATGAAATTTATATCAGACAAAGACTTGATGCCACACAAGAAACCGCATGGAAAGGTTATATATATTGATATACCATGGTTTTGACCCACTTTTGACCATGATATTTATATGATTTTATATATATATGTTTTGGAGTCTATTAGGTATGCTTTCAGGTTCAAGAGCATTTTGGAGTAAAGTGATGATTTAGGTGCCCTTATGGAGCTTAAAGGAGAGTTTTCTCAAGATGACTATAAAGATCAGACATTAAGGTCGATATCCTGAGATACCTATCGATCGATACACATCTTGTGTAATCGATCGACGACGCTTCCGTAGAAGATGACTTTTGATACTCCATCGATCGATGTACACAATGTACCATCGATCGATATGAAGCATGAAAAACAGGTTTGACTTGGCCGACTTGAAGCCCAAGTTCTCTCAATATTACAAGATTGCCCCTGATGAGTTTTTAACCTAAGGGAACTCATATTTATAGTTTTGCCTATGTGTTTTGGCTAGACATGCTTTTTATGCTTTTACATGCTTTTGTGCTTTTCATACTTTTTATGTTCTTTAATTTATAAAAGTATTCTCTTCATCTTATTCTCATTTTCATAAAGGTTATAAAATTCTAGATTTAGAAGAAACACACAAAGAGATTTGTTGTTCGAAGAACCAAGAGTTCAATGTTCTAATCTAATGAATTTCTATTATTACCTTGTTTCTATGAATCACTTAGCAATGTCTGAGTAGATTCACTTGTTAGATTTAGGGTTCAAATATTTATGAGGGATTAGCCCCAACTATGGATTGTTGAGTTGTGATATTCATTATCATGATGAACCCTAATGCTTATTCAAGAATAGCTAACTAGAGTATGATCATGGAATGATTTAACTTGTTAATCATCATCCTGAAATCATCTGATATAAGCTGAGATTCTAGGCACAATGCGAGAGCCGGTCTATGATCTTGGTGAACACTTTTGATTCGATCTGAAGCTATATCGATCGATACTCTTATAGAGTAATCGATCGACGGCTACATATATCGGCCGATGTTGCGATAGCAATATCGGCCGATGTTGCGATAGCAATATCGATCGATATTGTCAGCAGTCAGATCAATGGACGAGTCTAATAGCGATAGTTATAGATTTATCTAAGAATTGAAGTTCTTTAATATCTTGCAAGCAACTTATAAAGACACCTATAGCATAATAATCCTGATTATCTGAATAGTAACCTTGAATCTAACTATTTTCTTTTATTGTTTAAAACCTAAACCAAACTCTCTTGAGCAACTCACCATTGCTCACAACTGCAATTTACTTTTAACCTTGATCAACCTAGCATAATCACTTAAGATTTTATCTTTTGTGTTCCTTAGTTCCTCGTGGATTTGATCCCTAAGTACTACAATTGAACCTCTTATTTGAGAGAGTAATTCACTCCTTAGGGTAATTTGAGTGATATCATATATTTAAAACGTATAAAAGATTTCGATTATGTACCTAGTGTGGATGCTAAACCAGTTCGTGACAGGTTTTCTTTGGTAAGGATATGGTTTGGAATTGGAACATAACCAACAACCAAGGCAAAGGCAACAAGACAATCGAAGTTGGTGATTCCATCTCGGTCCTAAAGATGACCTCTTCCGTATCTGAAGCAACTGTTTAAAGTCGACTCGAATATATATAAACATTTTTCTTCATATGTTGTGTTTTTATCTTTAAATAATTTAGAGAAAGATGATTTCTTGCTTATTTAACTTACAAACACCACTTATTCTGAGTTTCATCTTGTTGAAAGTGTATTCACTGGCTTGAGTAGTCTCGGTGGATCTTAACATTTTAAAACCTGAGTACTTGGAATAAATCTTGAAAACTAATAAAAGGATCCATCTCATTTATCATATATATAACTCTCCGCCAGGTTCTTGAAATTATGGATAGGTTTTATGGATCTTGTAGATTTATAAGAAGACATCTTTAAGCATGAAACATTTTAGCTTAAAAAAAAACAAGGAAGGGTAAAAATGTTCAAACGATTACATGTAACACTTAAATTTACTAGTTTTTAATATAAAAAAACTAGATAATTATATTGTTACAAACTATAAGAAACAACCGAGAGTTTTTTCTTTCGTATGAGGATTCTCGTTTGACTGTACGATGCTGAGTCTTCCTATGAGATCTACGCTTAATAGTACTCCATACAACATACTGAAGATTTCTTCTAAGTTTTTATCCATTATAATCTGCATATATAATTCAACCTTTTCTAGGACTCGAAATCCAAATTTCATGTATGGTGTAGAAGCATTAGTGAACTCTTAATCAGACCATTATATGACTTTGAAGAAGCTACATGATATTTTAAAAGTGCAATATATTTCTTTATAACAATAAAAATACATTTATAAATATATATAAGATAGACAATGCTAGTTAAAGTAACGTTACATATATATTTACAATTACATTATATTTGATAATTTTAAAGTATTATAAAAAATAAATTAAAATATTAAAATAAATCCGCAGGTAGCATAAATAAAATACATAATGATATGCCTTATGTTTTTGGTACAAATGTACCAACATTCCAATGAAATTTAAATTCCCATGGTTTTTCATAACTCCTTGTAAAATAAATTCCATCTTTTCTGGCAGCATATGAACGTAGTACGCCACATCGTTCGAGAGTGGCTGGCCGATATGCTAGAAAATCATTGTAATACTTACCATACTTGAAATAACAATCCGTTGTTTCCTTTGCAAAAGTTATCGGAGAGTCTATGAATTCGCTGACACGTGTGGTGTTAAATTTTAATTCTTGTGTTTGAAAAGGATATTTGCGCGTCTTGTCACGACAATAATAATGAAGAACAATACCAGGACCAAGCTGATTATGAAGTTCTATACGGTTGATCTTGCAAGCTGTACCAAATCTGTAATAGGTAGCAAAAACCAACATAAAACTTATAAGAAGATTCATGTTTTAGATTAAAGATATTTTAATCAGAGAATCAATGTGCAATATTTATATAAAAACTGTAATCATTCTTATAATTTAGTAAATAGTCTATTTATGGTGTTAAATAAATTTAAAATTAGACATGGACTATTTTTACCACTAGTTCAAAGAAATTTGAATGCAAAAAATATGAGTAACCAATAATAAAATTAGAAAATGAATTAATATTTGTAAGTAGTAACTCACTCTTAAATAAAAATAGAAAAGTCTAAAAATGAGCAAAATATTGAAAATTTATTATTATAAAGTGCTGACATATTTGAAACACTTAAACAATTAATTTAAAGAATTCATGTGACATAATCGAAATTGCGAAACATAATTTAATATTGTGAGAGGAATTTAAATCTCTGGGAAGTAATAATGTACACGGTTTTTGTTAATTGTTATAACAAAATTATAGTGGCGATTCAAAAGCACACACATATTTTAACATTTAACTTTATTGATATCATGATGTATAAACAACACTTCTTAATTGATTCGTAGGATAGACTGATTCTTAGTTTTTCTCATCTTCATTCTTGGTCTTGTATGATCATGTCATGACTCTCATTTGTTGTGAAAATATTTTGTTTATTTAAAAGTAAATAATTATAGGCAATTCATCTGTTATATCACAATCCTTTCTAAACATTCAAGTTGAATAAGATAACATGATAATATACATGTCCATGAAATTTATATTCTTTTTATTTGTAACCAGTAAAGGTAAATCTTCAAATTATTATGATGTATGAGCAACATCTTCTGACTCCTTATGTATTTGAAGCATTCGCTCCCATGTATCACCTCTTTATATTTTGAATTCAACATTAGAGCGAGGAAAAATAATCATTACCTCTGGGTCACACCCCCTTTGATTGGGTGGGATGAAGTGGGCGAGGATAAGACGCTTTGAAAAATTTAAACTGCAAATGCGGGTTGAGTATGTTTTATGCGAGATGGGTGCGAATCGACAAAATTAAATTATGGAAACCCGTCAACCCACAAAATAAAAAGATGTTTTAAAAAATTATTTTTCTTAAATAAAATAATTCAATTACAAAAATAAGTATATATATTACCTTAAAAAATAAAAAAATATATGAAAATATACTTATATTATTAAGAATATTATATGTGAGTTTCGTTGATTACCCGCAAGTTTTGGCAGGACAATAGGGTATAAATTTATTTTGTAAATCGATCGAATTTTTAACAAAAAAAAAATTCTCAACCCGCAGGTTGGCAGATCAAGCGGGCGGTTTTGTTTGGAAACCCATCAACCATAAAGCATCCATTTCTCATCATCATAAACTCTTGTTGTTGAAAAAATTGAACGACAAAGAAAATAATCCAACCACACACATTATTGTTATTTTCCAATTTGATACATTACCACGAATTATTATTTTGACCATATACAAGTATACTACATACATTACGCATGTGCGTCAACAAAGTTAGATCATCCATGTTTATAATAACATAGGCAATTTCGTTTCCATGGTTGTGAACAGTGAAAATGGTCACTGCATAGCAATATACTTCTATATTTTCCAAAATTATATTGGTTTCGTACAAAAATTCGCTAGCTTTCATAAATTAATCAGGTGCTCAAACATTCAAAATAAAAGTTTCAAAGCTTATAGTGAGTGACAGGGAAAATGTCCTAATTCAACATGAACTTTACACGTCGGCATTTTCCTTTTCGAACTTTGTACTAGTGCGTATTCCATTCTGAACTAAACAAAACTTAAAAACACTACATGAAATTTATGTTTCATGTGATGTTTTTTACATTCCCAAATTATATAGTAGTGCATATTTCATATTGTACTAAACAAAAGTGTAAAAATACTATATGAACTCTCAAAATCCTGTTTATATATATTAACCGTCAAAATTGTTAACCATCCATTAATTTATCAAAATGATGTCATTTCGGATAAATTTTGAAAATTAGAAATTGAAAAATACTACATGAACTTTCGGAATTGTGCTTATATATATTAATCATCAAAGGTGTAACTCATCTATTAATTTATCAAAACAATGTCATTTTGGATAAATTTTGTAAAATTAAAAAAAAAAATATATACTATGCGAACTCTTAAAATTGTGCTTATTGTTGTGAATAAGAGAGAAATAAGGAATTGATATTTCTTCTTTTTATTCCATATACAACAATACATATACAGACATAGTTAGAGTTTAGAACATTTTAGAACATGAGTTTATGAGCCTATATGGACATCCACATAATGGTTCATAAGAGCAACTTCATTGGTGAACCTCTAAGTGTGGTTCTTAACATTTTGTTTTAATTATTTTAATTAATTCTGAAAAGTTAAGGACTTCCAATTTAGGGTTTCCATTTGTGAAGTCCAAATTGGGGCTCTCAAGAATAAAATAAAATTGTTTATTGAAAAACAAATATCAAACATACAAATATTAAACATATAATAGTTATGTTTATTGAAAAACAAATATTAAACATACAATAATTATTATTGTTGATGACCAAATTTTGAAAATAGATTCTCAATTAAATCGGTCTTCAATCGTTCATGCATCCTTTTTGGCCGCGAAGTTCACTCCGAATGGCAAGTACGAGATTTCTAGGCATGTTTGTAGAGAACGAGAAATCCACCTCTGAACTTCTGCTTGTTTCTCCTTCGACGAATATAGATATATCGTATTGAGTGTATCCGTCTCGTTCGTCTTCCAGTATTATATTGTGTAGTATGATACATGCTCTGATAATGTTGCTGATTTTTTCCTTGTCCCAAAGAAGAGCTGGGTTTCTAACAATTTCAAAACGAGCTTGCAAGACTCCAAAAGCACGCTCGACATCTTTTCTAGCGGCTTCTTGACGTTGTGCAAATAACTCCGCCTTAAAACCTTGAGGAATAGAGATGGATTGGATAAATGTAGGCCACTTTGGATATATACCGTTGGTGAGGTAGTAGGCTCTATGGTTTTTGTTGGTGTCAAAATCAATCACGACGGAATCAATGGCTAAAAGTTTCCGTAAAATAAAAATATGTTTTATAAAACACGAGAAGCCGTTTTATAAAATTCTAAGAAATTTTCGAACAAAGGAAATCCGCGGAAAACTTGGAAATCGTCATCTCGGAAGAACGAATGAAACGAACGCCGATTACACGATTGTCCGAGTTAAGCACAAAACCGCAAAAAGCCGCATCCGCCGTAAACCGCGAGCAGGTTCGATCGAACCAAGTTCAACGTACGACGAGCCGAACCAACCGGTTCTGCTCGCCGTACGGAGAACCAACCGATTCTGCTCGCCGTACGGCGAACTGGTCGGTCCCGGACCAGCTCGCCGTACGTCGAGCTGAATGTCCCGAGCCTCGACCTCCCACATCTTCGACTCGAGGCATACGCCTGTCAGCTCGATTGTGTTCTAAACCACGGTTAAAACGTCTCTTGTTTCGTCTCGATCCGTCCTATCGTTCGAGATTTACGATAAAACCATAAAGTCATGTTTTCTCGAAAGAACTCAAGGAAATCGTATAAAACGGCAACGGTTAAACGAAACACCGAACATTGCCTAACTATACGACTTACTCGATTTTTTGTGTGAAAAATAGTAAAAAACGTGTTATTAATAAAACCTCGAGTAAATCGTAGAAAAATGCAACGATTAACTGAAACATCGAACATTGCCAAACTTTACGATTAACTTGAGAAACTTATTTAAAAACACAGTATCACATCAGGAAACAATCTCGTATAAAGTCATAAAACGGTTTTTATCGCAAAATGGCTCGAGAGTCCTAAAACGCGATAAAAGCCTATCTCGCGACTTTAACGAAGTCTAGCCTGAAGATACGACGACGTTTTAACGAGTTACTCGCAGAAAGAAGATAAATTTAAAATTTGAAGATAGATGTCAAGTTTGAGGATAAATAGAAGATTTCCGCGGGAAAAAAGGAAAGATAAAGATAAATGGAAGATTCTCGATAAACTCAAATCTAGGCGAAATGGAAGGACTAAACCGCCTCGGAAGGGAGTATATAAGCAAGAGGCACATGACAGAAGCAGATGACGAATTTCAGAGTTCTCATCTGAGACTTTTACAACTTTTATAGACTTAGAATTTTCCGCACTTAGAAACCTAGGCTTTATTCTCGACAAGTTCGGTTTCTATGACTGGCACTCAATTACTAGATGAACTCGCCCAGGCAGTTTGATCTCTTGTCCAGCTCTATCAACTGAACTACGTTCGACTTGATCCTCGAAAGGGGTACGTAGGCAGCCTTTCATAAGGTTCAGTCTGAAATCAATCAAACTCTCTTTTTCTTATCTTTTTCGTCTTTTGTTATCGAGCTGCGACTCGACTAGGTTTAGGGTTTTTATGTTGATAACTCGCTGATGGCTGATATCACTCAAATTACCCTAAGGAGTGAATTACTCTCTCAAATAAGAGGTTCAGTTGTAGTACTTAGGGATCAAATCCACAAGGAACTAAGGAACACAAAAGATATAATCCTAAGTGATTATGCTAGGTTGATTAAGTGTAAAAGTAAATTGCAGTTGTGAGCAATGGAGAGTTGCTCAAGAGAATTGGTTTAGGTTTTTAAACAATAAAAGAAAGTAGTTAGATTCAAGGTTGCTATTCAGTTAATCAGGATTATAATGCTGCAGATGCCTTTATAAGTTGCTTGCAAGATATTAAAGAACTTCAACTCTTAGATAAGTCTATTAGCAATCGCTATTAGATTCGTCCATTGATCTGACTGCCGGCAATATCGACCGATAGTTTGACAGCGATATCGGACGATATAAGTTGCCGTCGATCGATTATTCTATAAGAGTATCGATCGATATAGCTTCAGATCGAATTGAATATGTTTTCACCAAGATCATAGACCGACTCTCGCACGTCCCAAGAGGAACTCAGCTTAT